TAGGATAATCTAGAATGTGTCTGTGGATGACAAGTGGCGGTATCCTTGACTGGAGAATTCGTGTGCATGTTTGTTTCCCCTGCATTTCTAATCCTTGTACACTTGTGGCTCATAGAAAGACTCTAAAAAGCGTAGAAAATGTGTGACGCCCTGCAGTGTTCACCTCTGTAGGTTATCTCAGTTACATCTTGTCAGAGGATATATATATATGTGTGTGTGTGTATATTGTTTTTTTAAATGACCTCCTTGTTTCCACGTCTTTATGTTCATTTATGAGGAGGATACATGCAGTTTGCTTCCTGTCAGAGCGTACGTGTACAGCACACGCCTGACAGACTAAAACTACTGTTAACAAAAGCCTACTTGTACCTGTTTTTGTTGCGGCTGTTTGGATTGTTGCTGATAAATTAGGCAGCATTTCTCTTCCTCTGTCTCCTCATGTGTCTGTGGATGAGAGACAAGGTCAGCTCATTAAGATGCATCATTCTGCACAGTGAAGCACAAACATCAAACTCAAGGAACAATAAAATCATCTCAGAGCAGAGGGAAAGTTTCACAGAGCTGTCTGAGTTTGTGTTTCTGGTATTTGTACGTCATCACTTTGGACACACCTCAGAGGTTTTTCTTTGGAACAAAACAGACGACATGAAAACTTCAAAATAACCCAAAAGGAACCATATAAACAAAAACGTGCTTCACCAGCCGACGCTGGTTTCATCATCGTATGCTAACCAGTTTGATGAGGTCAGTAGCTGGAATGGTTTCAAGGTAACAGATTGCCAAAAGGGAACTGGTGGGATTTTCGCTTCCTTCTGGGTCCCACATGGTGAACATCCATTTTCATTTTGTTTGTGCGCTGTTAAGATGTGAAGACGTTTGATTCTTCCTTCCTGACTGACATGACCTCTGCCTTTGGCTCCTCCTAGTGGAGCATTTTTAGTGTTGCTTCTGGATTTTGCAACATGCCAGAGTGGCGGGGGACCAGCCACTCATCAAACCTGCATTCTCCATAGAAGATGCCAGCAAGCCACAAGTCGATGCCGGATCGTAGTAAAACCTAATTTTCGCTACGCTCACCATCTTCAGAGATCCACCATTCCTTCCCTCCTCCTCACCATTGGATTCTACCACCTCCAGCTCTCCATATCCACCGTGACCCTCTGGTGAAGCCATCTGGTCCACCTCCGTCTCCTCCGACTCCCCAACCCTTGCTTCCAGTACTGTGGTTTTCCAATCTCTCGTCGACTCCATTAGTAGTACTCGTATCTGATTTGGATTCTTTGCAGTAAGTTTGTTGGTAATTTGTGGTGATAGCTCGTCGTCCTCTAGAGGACGTTTTGATAAATTCCTTCGTGTAAGTATTTGTTAGTCGTCGTTTCGGTTGCAGCTTTGTTTGTTACTGGGTTTCACAGTTGGTGTTTGCTTTTGTGAATAAATATTCGCATTTCGACTGTTTGGTGGTCGAGTCATCTGTCTGAGCTTGAGCCTGTGTGTAGAACCGTGACACTGACTCAGGGTGAAGGCAGCTTCACCTGGACCGGACCTCAGAAGGGGACCCTGGTCTCCCCATCGTGCTGCTACTTGTACCTGAAATTATTAAAGTTTTTTGGATCGCTGCTCGCCTGGTCCCTCTGCTGGGAACAGTTTGTCTACCAGTCAACCATTTTCTTAATGTCAGTGTCGATACTTTCCTGTGATGGAAGCATCTGTGCTCTCAGTCCTTAGAAACTGGCTGGCCTCTGGTATCCACTGTCTGAATGAGTGGTTGATGGCAGGTTGCCTCAAGGTTTGTAAACGGGCTGCAGAAGGACCAGATTGTGGTGGAAGGGCGAAGGCTCTATAGGCCTCCTTGATGTTTCCATACAGCAGATGAAGTGTCTTATGTTCCCTTGTGGAACAGTCACCGTGCTGCACAGCAGACGGGAGGTTAGGGCCACATGGTTAGCATCTATTGATCTTGCAGTGAAGCAGCATGTGGTGGGATGTGAACAGTGATGAGAGGGATGATGTTGTTCAGTCAGCTGAGCTCTGTAAACACAGGCATGATGCAGCCAATGCGTCTTCACCAGTGACTCTGCCTCCTTGCCCTTGGAATGCAACGTTGGCCTCGTCTGTTGTAATACAAGGAGGTCCTCCTATAGGTCTGCTATTCTTCCCATAGCTGTGTACACCGCAGGAAGTAAAGAAACCCACTTAGCTACTGAGCTCCAAGGACGACTAAGAGGTCTCAAACTGCCCGTTTGTACAAGAATGACGTGCTATTATATGGTTTATAACATTCAAATCACCGCACATTTATTAGTGTTTCTAACATCATGTAAAATCACACCTTTGAAACACTCGCTGAATGATGCTTCAGGTGTGGTGATTCACACAAAGTCTCACAATTCAATCAAGATCTGAACACCACAGAGCGCTCACACAGCTGAATGTGGAGTCTGACATCGATGCTGCACACCGTTTCTACCCAAAGAGTTCAATGAACAAAATGTAGGTGGCAGTCTCTTTTTCTGATAATAAAAGTGTGTGGATGTTTAGGGGTTAACAGAGTTTTTACACTGAATGATACCTGAAAGTACTGCAGGCTACTTTGTTTAAGTGCACCAACAACAACAAGAAGGTTTCCTGTGCTGTAAAGTCTGTCATGTATCTGTTGCAGATGGAGTTTCTGTGTCGGTCGCCTTGCCCTGGTGTGTGCACACTGTGAAGATCCTTTGGTTAAGAACACACACCAGTGTCTGAGGTTCAAGTGGTTCCTCTGAGAGCTGCAATTATGGAAACATTAGCTGTGCTCAGAGAACACCTTAAGAACTGTTTTCACTGTCAGCATGTGGAAATATGAAGAGGTCATCACTAAATGCAGGAGAGTTTAATGGGTACGAGTGGGCAGGCTGGACAAAGACAGTGTTTGGTGTTACGGTAACATCTACATGTGCACAGAGCTCCTTCTGCCTCTCTGGGCCTCGTGCTTCACTTGTTTTTTCCTCTTATCTCTTTTATCTGTTCATGAATGGTTTCTTCATTTATCACCTGCTCCTGTGCAACGTCCACATCCCATTCCTATGATAGATGAACTCTGAGCACACACACACACACACACACACACACACACACACACTTGTGGAGAAGAGCGCAGTAGCAGTGGGTCTCCGGACGATGCTGAGAGGTGTAGGTCGGTAGGAGGGCGCAGAAGGAAGAAATAGACTTAAAGCTTAAAGAAAGCAGAACAGGTGTGTACAACATAGAAGATGGAGAGAGTGGAGAAGGAAAAGGGAAATGTGAGAAAATCAGACATCCCCTTCAGGGTCTTGTGGTTAATGACACCTCAGACAGGTTCGCTGTCACACACACAGCCACAGTTTATCAGCTACGCTCAATATTATTTTACTGTTTGATCCGTTTACTTTCATATACATGAAGCTGGTTTTATGTGCAGCAGCGACATGAACATCTCTCTAATCAATAAATTAACTACAGAAATATGGCAACAAACAGTCGAATATCAATGCAAATGTTAATGTACCATACGTTGATTGTTTCATAATTATCATCATACATGGAGAGAATTCAGTTTTTAAATAAACTCTGAGTGTGTCTTTAATGTATTTCTAAAATGATCCAACAGTCCAGAGAGCTAGCTAAAGGTCACACAAGGTTAAAAAAACGTTCGCTAAAACTAATGTAAACTAAAGCTGACAGTGAAAGAGAGAGCTGAAAGTAATAAATGGATAAAACAGTGAAAGCAACAGATCAAGTCAATAACTGACGTCTTCATTTAAAATACACTGATCGAGCCAATAAATGTAATAATCAATCAAAGATGATCAATCACTGCTGACAGGACAGGATTATTATAACAGTAGAGCAGAGAACACACTGTGTGAATGTGTTCAGCGTTAGCGTGTGGACAGTCTGCTCCTTGCTGGAACATGTTTGAGATGTTTTATGAAAGCTTCTGTCTCTTTGTGATTTGATCTGAAGTTTGGTGAATCTGCATAATTTGCTCAGAAACCTTCTCTTGTTCTTAAACCTTACAGACCTGATCATAGTTTTCACCTCTAGAAGTTGGATTTTCCTTTCCTACAAGGAGTTCTAGTTTTGTGTGTGTGTGTGTTTTTTAAATTCAGCTACTAGTGGAAACTGGTTTGATTTCCTGAGAACCGTTGCTGGTTGTTTAGCAGACAAAGAGGAATAGTTCAGATAACCACGACCAGAAACACTGATCCCAATTCCCAGAGTCACAAAACATCGTCTTCATCCTCTATAAGAGTTTGCTGTTTTGTTTTTTCATTTGTTTTTTATACATTTTTATGCCTTTTTTATTTATAGTTTTTTATTTTTGTGCATTTTCTGTTTTATTCCATCTTTAGAATGAAGAAGAGCTGCTGATGCTTGAAGCTCGGTGTGGTGCTCTCATGTTTCTGCTGTCAGGACTGACTCATTCTGGTGGTTTCAGGATGTCTCTCAAGCTTTTGACTTTAAATTAACCAGTTAGTCTAAAGTGTGTGTTGTTTCCTGAACTCATCATGTTTCTGCCACTCTGGTTGTGATGAAGGACTCTGCACTGGGCCTGTAGGATGTGGTAGTGCTGCTTCCAGTCCTGTGGCGCTGATGCAGCCTCTGAGCTGTAACTTGCTGTCTTCACATTTAACACAGGGCTGGTTAGTGATCGCTCAAGAGGTGTCTCTGTGTGATCCACACCACTGCCTGTGATGTTGTTCTGGCCAATGAAGACCAGCGTTTCTAATGTAGAGATTGAACCTCTGACCTTATGTGGAACTGATGTCACATCACCTGTACAGGTGTGACTCACAGCTCTGTCTCGCTCAGGCTCTGCTGTGGTCGCTGTGCAGCAGGATGTGCACTGACAGGCTGGAGAATCATAAGCTCTGTTCACATGTTGAATGTTAGGGAGTATTTACAGCTGATTCATTTTATTTTCATGCATTCAGAGAAAAGAGGGAAAGTCTTGACAGTCCACGTGTGTGTCTTTGCTGCAGACAGGAAAACCACCGGTGGAGGATCTGTTCGCAGACTTGTGTGATGGACGACGACTGCTGGAGCTGCTGGAGGGGCTGACGGGACACGAGCTGGTACGAATACACACCCACACACACACAAGAACACGCAAGCAAAGACACACACATGTAAGCATTCGAGTCGTGGAGCCCATGACGCGCTTAGCTTAAGCCCCGCCCCTGACCGTCAGAGGAGAGTGAGATCCAGTGTGAACCCTCGTGTGACATCATTTAAATGTCAAATGATTCAAACTGGTTTCAGCTCACAGTTCATCATCACCTCTGGGTTTAACAGCAGGGCATTAAAGACAGATTCACTGTGTTCAGAATGCAGGAGCCAGAGCTGGAATCAGCTGGAACATGTCGTTTCCACTTTTCTCTGAGATGACAGACCCAATCCTCCTCGACATGAAGGTCACCAGATACCAGTGAAGGGTTCAGAAACAGATAACTCCATTTTTGTAGATTTTCAGAAAACTTTAGTTTTTGTTTGCTTGAGATAAAATCAGTCAAACTGAAGCTGACTCAGCAGAAATGACCAAATAGAGATAACTGAGTTTGGTTGATGCTGTCTCAGGTGGACGATGGACGTGTTTGAAGGTTTGTGATGATGATGGAGTTCTTGTTTTTCTTTTCCACATCCTCCACGTGGACTCTGTTGGAATCGTTCTCTCTCTACTGCTGCCTTTCATCATTCTTTCTGTGTCTTTGTTTGTGTCTCTCTCTTTGTCTTCATCTTTCCACCACCTTTCCCTTCTCCGCCCTGCCGGTGTCTCTTCCTGTTCCTGTGTGTGTGTGTGTGTGTGTGTGTGTGTGTGTAGGTGAGGTTGGAGAGAGGAATCACACGCGTACATTCGCTCAACAATGTCAACCGCGCTCTGCAGATCCTGCAGAAGAACAACGTGAGTATGCAGATGAACGATGGTCTCGGTCCACATTAACCAGAGCCTGCTGGAGTGAACTCTCTGTGATCTCCTCATTTCTGTTCCTTTAACTTCTGCTGGTCTTGTTTCCTCGTTCCACTTTTGTCTGGACTTCCTTTGCTCTCCGTCCTCTCACGCTGTTGCTCAGCCTTTTTTTTTTTAAAGCCTTTTCTGATGTATTTTTTCTTTTCTATATATAGAACGGCTTTTTTTAGTCAAGATATTTTTATAAATCAGGCTTACTTGACAGAGCAGTAAAAAGAGTGGCTGTTATTCTGTTTTCCCACGAGGTGCGTGGATTCAGGGAATAGACTGATGTTGCTGTTGTTGAACTCTTCCATTATTAGAGGAAACCGTTTCATCCCAATCTGGGTAAAGAGGCTCAAACGTAGATCTGATGGGAACAAGATGACTGAAGGCATCCTTGACATGATATCACGCTAAAACATTAAGACTGAATCAGCGTCTTTACCCAGATGAGGGATGTGTGGAAGCAGACTGGTGCTGTTGTTTGTTAACTCATTCATTATTCCCCATGTGACAGAAATAATAGTGAGCATCACCCTTTGGACCTCACAAACCTACAGCCAGGTCAAAAGGCATCTTACCTGATCTAGTTAGCCTTAATTAGTATCATATTTAAAATCATTTTTCCGTATGATAACATATTTGGGGCTTATTCATGTCGTACAGTATTTTTTCATTTTAACAAGACAAATGAGCCTAAACCGATCCAGTAAGCTCCGTTTTATTCTCCTTGCCTTTGGGAGAATGTCTGAATGAGCCCTCCTTGCATCATGTGCAGCCCTCCAGCATGTGGAGTGATCTGAACCTGACAGGCGGGTTACAGTCGCTGGCAAATCTTTAATTGCTTTAACGTGTTAATGGGGTCGTAGGTAGACATTGTTCAGAGAGGATGGGAACCACTGAGTAGGGAAGAGGACCTGGAGGCTGGAAAAGCTTATGTGTCTGCATGTTCCTCTCCAGGTTGAGCTGGTGAACATCGGAGCGTCAGACATCGTTGATGGGAATCACAAACTGATCCTCGGGCTCATCTGGAGCATCATTCTCCACTGGCAGGTCTGTGTGTGTGCACGCCTTTCTAAGTCTTCCAGCTCGCTGCGATGCTCAGTTTGGACAGAACGAGAGGCATCAGTTTGAACTGCATGCTTCTTCATTTGCTTTGACCTTGATGAGACTTTACTTATCCAACTGAGTCTAACACAAACTGAACACAGAGTGTGTAATCTCCCTGAACCTTTACCTGTAAATAGAGACCATGCTTTAGTGATGTGATTACACTCTATTCAAAGGAGACTCCGTATTCTGAGCCACTCTTCATATTACAGTAAAGTCTTACAAGGTACAGTGAGTAAAACTACTGCCCTTAATACCACAGCAGCTGCCTCTTCTCCAAGATGTAAAGAGATGGTTTGGGCTCGTCTGTTGGTTTTAAAGCTTCAACACTTCCATTTGTTTCCCACGACAAGAAGAAAACGCTGCACATTATCCTCGTGTGTCCATCTGCGTCTTTTTGCAGCGATATTCAGAACGTGTGCCATTTGGTAGATGTGGCAGATGTAAGCTTTCCAAGTTTTTTTGCAAGAGTCCACTCTAGTTCGCCTTGATACCAGAGTGTATAGATTCACATGTTGTTCTGTGGATCTCTTTGTTCCCATGAACGCTTCAACGAAGGCAGGACTTCCCTCTGCATGTCAGCGCTCAGTAACAAGGTGTAAACACTCCGCTGCGCTGTGGCTTGAATTTTAAGTTCATGTATATACTGTATGTTATGGTGTACACTGTTCTGCTCACCTGACACATGTGAAACACGGTGGTAGGCTGTTACAGAACACAGGACAGGTGACGCAGCGGCGCCACACGTTGGCGACGATGTTCCAGTTTGTTTCACACCTGTTGCCTCGACTCCTCTCTCCTCCTCTCGGCTCCTCTGCTCACACCTCTGGTGGGAGGACTGCATGGCGAGGACAAGAGCAGAGGAAGGAATATATCGAGGATGTGCAACTAGTGACAGGAGACCAGGAGAACATCTGCCTGCTCTAATAGTAAATACTGCAGAGGAATCAGTTATGTGCACGTCATCTTGAATATTCCAGATTCCTGATTCTGAAAGTTCATATTTCTATTTTTCATCTTACATGGACTTCTGACTTCTGTTTGTATTTTTAAATGAAGTTAATTATGATTGCATTTCACGCTCTCTGTTTCAGAGCTCATATTGCTGCTGCGATTGTTTGACTAAGTTCAGATTTTGCCTGAAATCCTCAATTGTGGCTGTTTGCCAGGAAGTGATTAGCGCTAATTGGGCTGCATATTTTTCAGCCGACTGACTGATGTCGTCTTTTTTAGGAGAATCTTTTTGCCATCACAGAGAATCTTGTGGAGTTTTGTGTTGGTACGTCCAGCAGCCTTTAAGGTAAAGGGAGAAGCAGGACAGGCTGCTCAGAGTTTCCTTTAGTGCTTTTTGTCATCTCTTGTTTACTCCAGGTCGGTTTTTTCTGCCTTTCATCTTACTGCAGGTCAGAGAACCTTTTCAGGTGTCCATCGTTGGCTACCTGTGATTTATTTCAAATGTCTAATCTGTCCTGTGATGGACTGAGTGATTTAAGCAACTGTCATTTTAATAGCTGACATCACAGCATCATTTAACCGTTTCACTTTGCATTAGGTTGAGCAGAGCCTCACGTCTCAGTCATACTAGGTTTAACACGGACTTAATGATGCGATTAATAGCAAAACACCGTCCTGTAATGATGCCTGCAGACTGACTGCATGTTGGTGGGAAGCATGTGAGTCCCTGTGTGCAAATATGTATGTCAGAGGTTGCTGCACTCTGGAGGTTATCTTTTGCTTGTTTGTGGGCACATATGCCAGTTTGTAAGTGCTTCTGTCTGTGTGTGTGTGTGTGTGTGTGTGTGTGTGTGTGTGTGTGTCACTGTCAGTTTGTGTATAGAGCAGTCTTTGTCAAAGCACCTCACCAATTAAAGTGGAAATGCATGCAGTGACCTACTCCCAAATGAGTCCCTTTTTTAGCTGGCAGGCCACATTCTATGAGGAGTCGCTAACAAACCCGTTCGTGTGTGTGTGTGTGTGTGTGTGTGTGTGTGTGTGTGTGTGTGTGTGTGTGTGTGTG